TAAAGAAGTTCAGTTCTACTGCTCTTACACAAATCCAAAGGACCCATTATAGCCCATATTAATTAAAAGTAAAAAAAAATGAAGTAGGAATTGGCATCACAGCCCTGCTTCCACCCTCCAATCCTTGTTAATGCAACAGGAGTGTATTAATTTAGCTGGATCACCTTTGGATTTGAAAGATTCTGAGATAAACATTTTCTGGTACAAGAATTAATATTGAAGGAGTATAAAACTCAGCAAGATGCCAATTAACTAAGATGATTGTCTACATCATATAAAATATTATTTATGAATATCAATAGTCAATCTTAGTTTTTTTTTATTTCCCACTTGATATCTTTCCAAACATAATGATTTAAACTAATTTACAGGGGAATGCTTATCCTGGCACTGAAACCACTGTGGGTTTCTGGTGCTGTCTGAGCTTGGTTGTTTTCTTACAGATGTTTCATTACCAAACTAAGTAAAGTCATCCATGCATATTCTCTACACTAGAAAATGTAACAATTTTCTCAGTATTTACTAACAATTTTGTGACTTTTGATGACAAGTAGGAATTTGCTACACATTTTACCTCTAGGAAGCAATAAAAAGATGTTGATTTATTAACTGATTCCAAGTATTTCCTATTTATTTCAACAGGATTTTCTTGCTACTTGTCAGTAAGGTTGCTCTTCCAAACAGGCAACAGCATAAGCAAATGTCTAATGTATGACCACAAGATGGTGCTGTAATCTTAAGAATATATTATAAAATGCATGCGCTCAAGTTTACAGAGAGCAAACGGTGCTCTCTGTAAATTGAGGAATTTTCATAAGATCAGTCTGAAAATTAAAACTAGCTTTGGATCTGCAAAATGGCATCTGGTTTTGAGAAATTAGCCAAGTTTGTTTGCTTGAGACTGAAAATGGTTGAGTTTTGTCTGTTTTGCAATGCTATTCCTTTAAATGAGAATAAGCAAGCCATCTGTCATTAGAAGGATTTGAGCTTCAGCCATCCTAGGTATTTTTTTTAATTATTCTGATGGTTTTGAAAGACTACATAGTAGAACAGGGGTATCAAACTGTCGGCCCACGGGCTGGATGGTCATGTCAAAACTATGCCCACTCCATTGCCAGCAATGGGGGGGGGGAAGTTGCGCTACATAGTGACATGTCACGTGACATTGCGAGTTTGATACCCCTGTAGTAAATATATGGTCATAGAAATGTAAACAAAATAAATCCATGGATGATATGCATGTATGTTTGTAAGAATTAATGTGTTTCTCTTTTGTGCCCCATACATGTGAAGGGATGTTTGTTTTTCCAATACTTTCCACAGCCCAGGTTAAGAAGTGATTATTTTTGTTCTCAAAGCCAACTTTGAGGAACTGAAGAGACAAAAACAGAGTCAGTGTAAATGTATTCTAATGCAAGTCCATCCAGCACAATTACGTGTGGTATCAGATGACCATCTTTTCAGATAAATATCAAATGAATTCTGGCAGTCAATGGAGTGAAGGATGTCGCAGCCAGATTGTCCTCACGTGCATTCAGATAAATATATTTATTTTGAAACTTTCTGAAATGTTTTAAGTTAAATATGCAGCTTATAATATTCAGCTTAAAGTTGTTGGCTACATATTTGCAGATGACACCAAACCGGCAGGAATAGCCAATGCTCCAGAAGACAGGCTTAAGATACAGAAGGATCTTGACAGACTTGAACATTGGGTGCTATCTAACAAAATGAAATTCAATGGTGAAAAAAGTAAGGTTCTACATTTAGGCAAGAAAAAACAAATGCACAGGTAAAGTATAGGTGGTACCTTGCTCAATAGTAGTAACTGTGAGAGGAATCTCAAAGTCCTAATGGGCAATCACTTAAATATGAGCCAGCAGCTCCCAAAAAAACCAACACAGTGCTAGGCTGCATTAATAGAGAGATAGAATCAAAATCACATTAAGTGTTAATACCACTTTAAAATGCCTTGGTAAGTTTTGGTCACCACAATGTAAAAAAGATGTTGAGACTCTAGAAAGAGTACAGAGAAGAGTAACAAAGATGATTAGGGGACTGGAGGCTAAAGCATATAAGGAATGGCTGATGGAATTGAGTATGTCTAGTTTAATGAAGAGAAGGACAAGGGGTGACGTGATAGCAGTATTCCAATATCTCAGGGGCTGCCATAAAGAAGAGGGAATCAAGCTATTCTCCAAAGCAACTGAAGGCAAGACAAGAAGGAACAGATGGAAACTAACCAAAGAGAGAAGCAACCTAGAACTAAGCAGAAATTTCCTGACAGTTAGAACAATTAATCAGTGGAACAACCTGCCTCCAGAAGCTGTGAATGCTCCAACACTGCAAGTTTTTAAGAAGAGACTGGATAGCCATTGGTCTAAAATGGTATAGGGTTTCCTGTCTGAACAGGGGGTTGGACTAGATGAATTCCAAGGTCCCTTCCAACATCATCATCATCATCATTATTATATTACATTATATTATATTTTTATTAAATGCAGTAGAAATATAATCCTTATGAATTTACATATATCACAATCCATATAGGCTGCCCACCTCAAGCCTAAAATAGTATTTGGGAATGATTAGCTAGTTTTGAATTGAACCAGGTTTCCTAATGCTGGACAGGGACATCCCAGAATGAATGTGATTAAAGAAAAGACCTTGGTTTTTTTTCCTTCAGTGTCAAGCTGAGTTTATCAGCAGTCATCTCCCAAAGGCAACTTCCTATCAGGGTTCTCTGATAACTCAGTAGTAGAAGCCCCTGTTGAGAATGCACAAATGTTTCTCTGTTATCAGTAAAAATAGCATAGTGAAGACTTGATTCAGGCAAAGGATTCCCCCAGCCAAAACGCTGGAGAACGGGAAGCTCCAGTAATGTCATTATTGGATCATGGAGAAGTCATGAACCAACCCTATTTTAGAAAAATCCTTAATAATGTATAAAGCATTTCTTTAAAATAAGGTAGAACTAAGGGGCAGCCGAATGAAACTGTCCATTGGAGTGATCCACAAGGAGTATCCTCTCTGATTACTAGGTCACTTCTGAGAAAAATACCATATTGTCATTCAAGAATGGAATATGCTACAACAGTAAGTGGCAATTACAAACAGCAGTGATTTATTGAGGTGAATCAGTCTATATGAAATTATCTTGAGGAGAGCATATGCTACTTTCCTTCCATAAGGCCTGATCCTACAGGTTAATTAGGATCAGAACATATGTATGTGATGGCTTGATTGTTTAGAAAATGTATTTCCTGTTTTTCATTATAACCAAGGGATACCAAGTGGAATGGTGTAAGAGCAGAAACTAGCAAGATTTCATTGGAGTACAGTAGTCTAATTTTTAAGACCAGAAAAAGAATGGTCGAAGTCTGTTGACTCAAAAAATCAGGATAGAAAGATAGAAGTTAAACATTAAGACATTTATACCCAGGGTTTAATTTTTAGGTTCATTAGTAGCAGATCTTCTGCATTTATATAACATTTTATCTACAATAAAACAATTTATTTAGCCATGCTGTATCTTTGAAACTTCTGCTATAAGACTCTGAATATGAGGTTAACTACCTGATGTGTAAAAATGTATTGCCTTGCTGGTTTGAAGCCTTGCAAATGATAGCACATAAAACCTTGAGTTTACTGGGTTTAGCTTGAGCAGCCCTCAGCTGCAAAAGACAAAATCCACTATTTTATATTGAATATGTACATGAAAAATATGCATGTGTAAGACCCTATTTGGGTATAATGGGCATTTAGGTCTAACAGGCATCCATTACCCTCATCACTTCATTAAGTAAAAGATACACTATCCTGGGGCTCTCAAGGTATATTCATATTGTATCAATTATTTTCACATCATGATACCGCATAATGTATTGTTGGCTTAGTGCAATGTATGATTTGTATGTTATGATTTATGGATTAGTATGTTAGATGTATGGATTGATGAATTCGTATATTTATGGATTAGTATGTATAGTATGTTGGCAATAAAAACTTCTCACTTGTCCATCAAATCACAATTATAGTCAGCTTAGTCTATTACGATATATGAACCTAGTCAATAGGTCAATTATGCTGATAGATTATGCAATTTCATTTACCATGAATGGGACACAGCCATACAAGTATAAAAAAAAGTACAACTGTCACTTAGAGAGAGCCACTAAGAGAGGTCTTTTACCTCTAAAAAGCTACTATATAGGCTAAGCTTATATGTGGGTAGCTGAATTACCCCAAGCTGATGACTTTCTATTATTATGAATTAAAAATTCTAGAGTTCCAGCAAAATGCTAATTGACCTTGGATTTGAAATCTCATGTATCTGGGGCAGTTGTTTGTGAATGTCTAGAGCAGACTGTCCTTTTCATCTGTACGTACAATATATATATTTTTATGACAAAGATGTTAACAGGAAGTTTCTACTTATTTGTCCAGTTAAGAAACAGCGAACTGATTTTTTGCTAACTCTGAAATATTTTCTGATATTGTTGAAACTTAAAAATGAGTTTTCTATCAGAACAAAAAACCCTGACATTTCAGAAAAGAAATCAAACTGTCTTGCTAGTGAGGTCATGCTAAAATAAAATGGCTTATGTTAGGGTATCAATTAAACAGGAATTCTTGTTGTTATTTGTTAATGGAAAGAAAAGTGACAACATGGCTTCTCCAATATTACAGGATAAAGCTAGATTAATCATAAAAAATTAAAAAGTACTAAAAGTTTCATAAGATTGGAAACTGTCTAAGATTTTTTAAGTCTTCATATGAAATCTTTCAAGATTTTAACATTTTAAACTCTTTTATTTACAAAAAATATGCATGGGAAAATGTTGAGGGTTTTTTAAGTTTAAATTTCTTGATGCCTTCAACATTGATACAAAAGAAACCAAATTCAATAGTTTTTTAAGCTGCTAATGCTGCCACCCAATTGTTAGGCTATTAATGCTTTACAAAAATAAAAAAACATAAAGTAGTTCTTAATGACCATGTTTATCCAACCTTTTTATTTTTAGGATTTTTTTTTCTATTGCTTTTAAGAGTAGTATCAACAGTAATAACAATCACAAAGTAATACTGATCTGTGTATAAGTATAAAAAAATGGAGAGAAAGAGATTTACATAGATATATTCTTTGTTTTCACTTTCTCTCTGTATGTATGCACTCCTGTATATGTGTGTGTGTGTGTGTGTGTGTGTGTGATTTCTTTGCATCCCATTGTTCTCTTTCTAGTTAAAGTGTCTCCTCTCAACTGGTTTTCTAAAACAATGATAATTGTCCAAAGAGTATTGTCAGCAGAACCTGAGCTTCAGCTTCTCTTATGATAAGACCATTCAGCAACCCCAGCTGAAGCCTTTTATGGCTAAACTTTACCTGTAAGGCAATGCTGATACATCATATCAGACAATAGCGAAATAACATGGAACATTTTCATTACAGCAAAATATATTGAGTTTCACTTTCAAAATAAAACATTAATCTCACTGGCATCTCCCATTACTGAATGAACAGGACATTAAAAAACAATAACAAACAAACTTCAGATGTCATACATTGCTGTTTCGTCCTTCATAGTCCAACCCTCCACATCTCTGTTTCAGGACATTTCCAAAAGGATGAAGATTTCCTTTTCCAGATGTTCTTAAAAAGTATTTCTTAAATTACAACAATCACTAAGTATTTATATGAAGTCTCTATTTCTGTCTGCATGTGAGACAGCAGAGAAATGGGGCAAACTCCCTGAACTGGTGGCAATGTTTCCTGTGAAACATAAGATCCAATACACGTGGGAAGTCTGCCATATCAGAATACAAAAATTCTACTATACACTGAAGTAGCTTCTCTAAAACTGCAAGTGTTCCAGAGAGGGCTTAAGAGAGAATATAAAGGCAGCACCTTTGCAGAAAGACATCTGAGGATAAACTTGCCAAACTTTTGTGTTTCATTTCCTGGTGAAGTGAGCTGTTCCTTTCCAAAGGCTTAGCCTTAGTCCATCAACTGCATGAGAGCAGCTGGCTAACACTGGCTACGATATAAGATCTCAGTTCACAAGATGAAAGATATAAATCTCTGAATGTACCCTATGAAAGCATTTATTTCTTTAAGACTTCATGACTTTGCTTCTGTTTTTCCAGTCCATTAAGACAACTCTTCTATAATAACATCAAACCACAAGGGACATCCTTGTTGGGAATTCATTCTGAGAAAAACAAGAAAAGAGAAGCAAAAATTATAAAATATAAAGCCAATCAACAAAGATGGGGTTAACATATCAATGTTTTAGGTTCCCCTCCCCCCAAACCCATAAAATGAAAAGGATTTCTGCCATATTCTATCCCTAATATACACCCATGTAGCCCTCCCATTGAAAATAATGAAAAAAATAGAATGGTTTCATTTTGTATTCCTTTTTTTTAGAGTTAAAAATCTCCCATGTACACAGTCCATCAAAGGAGCTCTATTTTTTTGCTCTTCTCTTTTGAAATAATGATCACCTAACAATACAATAATCAGGACCATGAAATAATGTGTAGTCAAGTGACTATTCTTTCAGACAAAAAGAAGAAAGAGTTCACTTCAAGAGCAAGGGGCCTTTATAAGATATAAAGAAAGAAAGAAAACGAAAGGAAAGCTCTTGATTTACTTTTGTATGTTAAGGCAATTTCCCTTTCCTCTTTTTTCTTCTACTCCATGTGAAAGAGGCAAAAAATCAGTCTGCTTCTTTTCACATGGAACGCACAATTCAATGAAATCAAGGATTCAGCCTTCCTTTTTTTAAAAAAAAAAAGCTTTTGCCCAATGGTTAGAATTTTTTTTTTTATCTATCCCTGGGAAGAGAGAGAAGACACAGCAAGGAACAGAACAAAGTGGCCATTTGCATCTATTTTCAGGCCAAGAGACCGTTCTGTAAGTCAGTTCCAAATGATCTGGAAGCTTTGCATGTACTAATTGTAATCAATAAGGATGTTTTCACTGATTTGTTTAATGATTTATTATGTAAAATCATGAAAAGGTGGCTAGGATTCAATTATTTATTCATTCATAGGAACCCTAAAAGACATGTTTGTGGACAGTTTGTCCTCATTCCTTTAATCTGTTTTCTCATAAGCATAACCTGCAGTTTTTATTTAGTATAAGTAGTCCTCATTCAGTGACCACAGTTATGACTTGTGATTCAAGCAGGAAGTGAAAAAATAATGTGACTGCAACTGTTTTTATATTATTACTTCCTTTTTTTATGCTTTACAACTTCGGAAAGCTACAAATGCTTAAATAGCCACTTTTCGCCACTGTTATCTTAGAATGCTCTCCCCAACACTGGGAAAATTAGCAAGAACCGAATAGATATTTGCATTTACATTCAATAGGGAGGAAGGAAATACAAGAGACACATAATGCACTACATCAAAAGACAGTAGACCCAGCTGTTTGCTTAGCATACTCCCGGCTGCCAGCCAGGAGCTGTTCAGGAGACAAACAAACGACTTTAGTGTGAAACTGATTTGGGTCTTGTCAATTTCAGGCAGCAGCTGTGAGTTACATGGTTCTATCAACTAATAAAGATCACAGAGCTGAGCCTGTTAACTTGTGGTTAGCATTTTTGAGCGATGCACTGCGCTGTGGTGAAAAGTTTGGCTAGGCAATTATTCTGCTCTGTGAGTGGGGGTGGGGAGGGGAGGAGTACTAACTGACTATAATGGCAAACATGTGACTGAGAAACAGATGCTGTAAAGATCATAAATGTGGATATTGATCACAAAGTTACTTTTTCATCACAGTTTAAATGTGAATGGTGGCGGCCCAAGTCTGTATACTCAGACTTTTAATATATGCACTTTCATGATTTACTCTTCACAAGTCTGGTTCGTCATGAGGTGTCAATGGAAACCAATAAAATCTCACAAGCAGGAGAACCATCTGAGCAGACTCTCATACAAAATCCTTTTCTTTTTGTTAACATTCTTGTTCAATGGATAAGCACACATTGTAAATTCATTTTATAACAACTCTTTCAACTTACCCAAAAATAAATTAATATGTCTTTCAAGTGTGGCCTAATATTAAACTCTTTAACTTATAAGTGTAAATTAATAAGCAATGATCTTTTTACCGATGAAATTACAATGGCATTAAGGCAATTCCTACTGAATTCATGGCTACCCATGATATACCCTTGATGAATTCATATTTTGCTTCACTCATATTTTGCTTCACTCATATTTTCTCTTAATCTGTGAGACTAAATTTTGCACTATCCTTTTCATCAGCCACTTTTTGAAATGCATCTTTGAGTGTAAAATCAATATTACCTGGGGTAAAGATAAAGTAGTGATTTTTTTTTTTTGCCAACTGCAATTTTAACATTAAATCCAGAGTACACAATGTCTCTGAATTCGTCTATCAAAGTGCAATAACCATTCCGCCCATTTAGCCCTGGTGCAAGGGTATCAGATATTGCCTCACTGTTTTGGGGGGCTCCTTTTTCCTCTTCTTCTCTGATGAATTGAAGTTAGTTTGTTCTCTGTTTTTGTATGAAAAACCCCGGCTCAATTCCCTCTCGCTGTAAGGTGGCAGAGTATCTTCTCCTTCCTCTTGCTGTGGAGGTTGTTGCTGCTTCTGTTCTGCTTTGTAAGTTGATGGTGGTGACCAAGCATAGTAAGATCCTCCCCTTTGGCTGGATTGTGAGCTGAGCTTTGAAGGCGTCTCACTATGCTCACCATTCTCATCATAGCTTCGAGATTTCCTTTCAAGGGCACTAGTGAGGTAGGAGTGATCATACTTCTGACTTCCTCCAGGTGTCCGACACATTAGCCTAGGCAAATGTTTCTCTTCATGCATACGTCTCCTGGGTGGGCTGTATCTCCATTCCCGGTCTGGATCTGTTACTGGTTCAGGATTTCCTCCCCTGCGTTTGCTATAGAAATCATCCGAATTCTCCAGATGTTGTATTGGTCCCCTCCTTGATCCTGTCCTCTCGAAGTGCCGTGGCTCCTGACTCGCCTCAGTCCGATGGACCTGTTGACTGTAAGATTCAGCAAAAGCTGCTAATTCATCCATGGAGACAGCTGGCACTCCGAAAGAAAAATTCTTTCTTGAAAGCATTTCTGACTTTGATCTCTGCTGGCTGGGTAAGAGATAAAAGAGATGCTTTGAATTTTTGGTTTAATTTTTTTAGATTAATTAGTAACCTACTTGTCTGTTCAGCCAATCTAAGTAATTCCCAGAGGAACATTTGAAATATTATAGCAGTCCTGTACTTGTACTGGCAGCACCCAAGTGAGCAGTAGAAAATTACTGATTGCCCTATTTCTAGAACAGAGGAAACTATATACCTAAACAAAGTCAAAACTTTTTATCCATGTAGTTTTCTATATCCAGGTTACCTGAAAAAGTTATTTTCCAAAGACCTCCAGTAAAAAGTCTTTCCTACCACATGCTCCTTTCAATTGGATTTGCAGCTATTGAATCTGGACCCTTTGCCAGGCAAATCATCTGTTGTGCTGTTGAGCTATAGCTAATAGAGTTACACAAGGGTAATCCACATGCATGACTCCACAATATACCTTTTAATCTCAGTACAAATGATTCAGACTTAAGCTCACAGAGTTCAGCCTATTAAATGGTAGTTAGCATCTTGATTGATAGGAATAATCAACTAAGGGAATAATACCCAAATATGTCATTTCTGACACCTCATCTTTCCTCTAAGTTGAGATAGCATGTGTTGGGGAAATCCTGGCTTGGTAATAGTACAGATGACGAAAGTCTTGACACAGTAGTTGGTTGCAAGCTAAACGAAACAGAAATGTAATATTTTGGGAGAAGAAAAAAAGAGGGAGTTGTATTTTATTTTGTGTCAATCACTTCAAATATTGCTCTATTTCTGAGCACAAAGAGAAGAAGATCTGTACTATACTACCTCTCTACTATGTATTATAGAGTGTAATACACCTTATAAATATGTATTATTTTAAAGGAACCTCAAATATGATTTGTTGAATGTGATACAGTGCCTAATCTACACTATCCAGATAGTTGACATACAATATGGCTCCCTAAACAGGCTGTGCTTGGATGTTAGATGTTTTATGCCAGGGCTTTTCAACCGGTGGTACGCGTACCACCAGTAGTACCTTAGCACCTGGCAGATGGTACGTGACTCCTAGCCAAGTGTAGTGGGGGAGGGAACCAGCTAAAGTAGCGCTGCACAGACCTAGAGGAGATCAGCTGGAACTGTAGAGCTTGGCAGAAGCCCTGGGATCGGTGCACATGGCAACATGGTAATTAGAGCTTCAGGCACACCCAGAAAAGAAAAGGAGGAGGAGGGCAGAGAGAAGAGAGTATAAAGGGGGCAGGTTTTGGCGGGAGAGGGAGAGAAAGAATGAGAAGAGAAGAAGCTTTTCTTACCAAAGCAGTGAGGAGAGACAGAGCGAGCGGCCTGTTTTCGGGTGAAGGGTGAGTGAGCGAACTGCCTGTTTAGTGAGTGGTGTGTTTTCGGGCGAAAGGTGAATGAGCGAGTGGCCTGTTTAGTGAGCGTCGTGTTTTCAGGGGAAGGGCACATAAGTGGCATGTTTAGCAAGCGGTGAGTTTTTGGGGGAAGGGCACATGAGCAAGCAGCATGTTTTTGGGGAAGGGCGAGCAAGTGAGCTGGGCAGAGCCCCAGGATTGGCGTGCACTTCTGCAGGGGTATGGGAGCTCAGCAGGAGCCCAGGATCGATGCATGCAGCTATAAGTGATCAGTGCTTCTGCTGAGCCCCCCAGAAGCACCAATCAGCTGGACCCGGGCGCTGATCTTGGCATTTCTGCTGAGCCCTGACAGCTCTGTAGAAGTGCCAATCAGCTGTCAGGGCTCAGCAGAAATGCCAGGATCAGCGCAGGAAGGAAGGAAGGAAGGAGATAGGAATGGGAAGGAAGGAAAGAAGGAGGAGAGGAAGGAAGGAAGAGGGAAATGGGAATGAGAAGGAGGGAAGGAGGGAAAAAGGAAACCCCTCCCCTACGGTAACCACATTGTTAATGTGGGCCTCAATGAAATTGAGTTTGACACCCCTAATATAAAAGGTTAAGTGAATCTGGTTTCCCCATTGGCTTGTCAAAAGGTTGCAAAAGGGGATCACATGACCTTGAGACACTGCAGCCATCATAAATATGAATCAATTGCCAAGCATCCGAATGTAAATCACGTGACCCTGGAAATGCTGAAACACTCATAAGTGTGAAAAATGGTCATAAGTCACTTTTTTCAGTGCCGTTGTAACTTCAGACACTAAGTGAACTGTTGTAAGTTGAGGAGTACCTGTACTTTATCACTTTTTTCCCTTTTTTGTGCCATATCCTAAAAGTGGTACAATGGGTGAAAAGGTTGAAAAGCTCTGTTTTATGCTGTCTGACAATGTCCAAAAGATAAAGCTTCTATAATACATTGTTCAGATAAGACAATGCCCTTTTATTGTGCTTCAACTATACAAAACTAGCTTTGTAACTTAGCTTATTTATTGTTAAATGTATAACCCACCTTTATTTTGTACAACTCAAGATAGTATACATAATGTTCATTCCTTACATCAACAACAGTGTTAGGCTATTGGGCTGAGAGAGTGATTGGCATGAAGTCATCCAGCTAGCTTTTATGCCTAAGGGAGGACCAACAATCACAATCTCCCAGTTTATAATCCAGCATTCTAACCAATACATCAAACTGGCTTTCCTTACATTTATCATATCCAGTGCAGGATATCAGATCTTTTAAATGCCTTATGTTTATATTTGGTATTCATCCATATAAATCAGGAAAGTAAAAATACTGAAAAGCAATAGTCTTCCATTTCCACTTTCCACCATTGAACTCACCTCATTCTGAAGCTTCCTCTGTCTTCCCTGTAATCAGAACGTGTTTGTGGCCTGGATATACCACTTCCACTAACAACCCCTGTCCAGTACTCAGCATCACTACTCTTGTCTCCTGAAGGAGGAAGTGGTTTCCTGCACACCTGACGGTAAGACTGGCGGAAGTTGGCACCCCCATCATGTAAAGAACTGAGCTCTGAGATGGTGTTACTGTCTGGAATGAAAGATAGTAGTTATTGGGAAAGAGAAGATACAATTTTTGAGATGCTCATACCACCCTGAACATTATCTATTTGCACAAACTATTTCATTGTTTACTCGTGGTGTAGAAGAAATTGCAAGCAGTAGTTCTCAACCTTATTTATTTTAAGTCTCACCATTGATTCTGACAACAAAAAAACTACCTGCCAGTTGTGGGGAAAAGCCAACTTTTTCAAAGAATTGTATCATACATATAAACTTATGTTCTGCTATTATGTTTACCACTTTCAGTAATTATGATACATTTTAAGAACAAAAAACTTGCATTAGTACTGTGATCATACCCTATAACTCTAAAAAGAATAGGTGAGATTAATTGGGGTGAAAGTGTTTGACATGGGAAACCTTTGCAAATCAAGAACTATTCCAAATAATGAGACATGGCACAAAACATTCATTTATTTGTTTAATAACAAACCAATGCTTTCATAAGCTGCTTCAAGGCTAGATGCCAGGAGATCCTCTGCCGAAAGGTCAACTCCCTTTGTCTAACCCAGGGGTAGGCAACCCAAAACACTCAAAGAGCCACTTGGACCGGTTTCCCACCAAAAACAAAACACCGGGAGCCGCAAAACCGTTTTGATATCTAAAATGAAGATAACACTGCATATATCCTTTTTTACCTTTATTATAGGTGTGTGTGTGTGTGTGTTTGTGTGTGTATGTGTATATGTGTGTGTGTATGTGTGTGTGTATATGTACATGACCACAAACGCGAAGCCAAAAAATAGCAAGGCAGCCCAAAATCTTAAACCCCTCTGCAACTCAGACTAACCTGAGCACAACCAAACAGAAAACTCCCCCAGCCAATCAGAGCACAGCCAACCCCCCAGCCAATCAGAGCACAGCCAACCCCCCAGCCAATCAGAGCACAGCCAAGCCCCTAACCAATCAGAACACACCTCCACCCAATCAGAACACAGCCAAGCTCCAACCCAATCAGTTCATACCCCCACTGGCAGTTAAAAGGAAGAAACAGCTAAGACCACACATTGCTCCTCGAAGCACGAAGCTGAAAACACCAGCCTGAAGATGACGAATGGGACTTCGTCGAAATGTCGCCAAGACACTTCCAATTTTACGCGGGAGAAAACCCGAATAACCAAAGACCTACATACAAACACCTGCGAAAACCTCAGAATATATATATATATATATATATATATATATATATATATATATATATATATATATATATGTATATGTATACGTATATGTACACATTAAAAATAAAAGTAAAAATATGACTCTTGGGAATATCCATACTATTAAAACAATGATCACCAAGAGAATGCTTTAAGAGAATAAAATTACATACACACAAAGGTAAAAAAAGGATATATGCAGTGTTATCTTCATTTTAGATGTCAAAAGGGTCTCACTCTCTCTGTCTCTCTCTCCCTCCCTCCCTCTCTATCTGCCCTTGGTCTGCCACTCCTCTTCCCCCACTCTCTTTCTTTCTCTCTCTCTTTCTCCTCTCTCTCTCTCTCTCTCTGTCTCTCTCTCTCTTTCTCCTCCCCTCCTATCTGCTGCTCACCTGGCAAGCTTCAAGCTGTTGTCCAACAAGCTCAGGGGTAGGCAACCTCGTCTCTTTTATGACTCATGGACTTCAACTCCCAGAATTCCTGAGTCAGCCTAGCTGGGCTAACTAGCTCTCTCCTGCCCTTCCTGCTTCCTGCTTCCTGCAGAGACGCAGCAAAGGGAGGAGCTCCGCCCAGTAAGCTTTTCAGCTCCTCGGAGAACACTGTGAGTGCACTCTCTTTTACACATACACACACACACACACACACAGAGAGAGAGAGAGAGAGAGAGAGAGAGAGAGAGAGAAGCAGGGAAGCGCAATTGCCTCTCTCTGTCTCTTTCTCTCTCTGCAAAGGCAGAGGAGGCTGGGAGCCACAGGGGAAGGCTCAAAGAGCTGCATGCGGCTCCGGAGTCGCAGGTTGCCGACCTGTGGTCTAACCGCATTCAAATAGAGCAGTGGTTCTCAACCTTTTTATACCGGCGACCCCGGTCATAAGGACGCGCCGCGCATGTGGGGGGCGATGCGCATGCGCGGCGGCGCCCCCATGCACAGCGCGCATGTGCGGTGCTGCCAGCTTAGGGGAAAAAATGGCGGATCGAGTTGTTTGGCGACCCCCGTAAAATGGTCGTTCGACCCCAAATGGGGTCGCGACCCACAGGTTGAGAACCGCTGAAGTAGAGATTGATTATTTTGCCTTCCATCTGGTCTTCCTTTCTGTTGTAAATATACATACAGCACGTAACAAGGGTTCCAGAGTACCACATAATGGGCTCTGTGTGACCAAGGGAAACATAAAATTATAGTCAGCATCAACAATCTCTTGTTTGGGAAATTTACCAGCATTCTGCAGCATAGAATCTCATTCTTGCAAAGAACAGGATACTTGCTGGCTTTTGGTTTGTAGCATGCTGGCTGATTTTCTCTACTCATGAATCCCACTAGGAAGAATGTTCTGCCATTTAATCCTTGCTACCGATGATGCTAGAAAGGCCTGAGACAATTGACTTAGCATCTGAGGCCAGATTGGGAAGGATTCATTTCTTTGGGGCAATGAGGATGTCACTAGTATACTTGTTCCCAAAAGAATCAAATAAAATAGCCCCTTTAGGAATTCCTAGAGAAACAGAGCAATTTAAAGGCAAAGGCCTGCTGCTTGTGTATATGTGTATGCTTTGTTATTCTTGTTGGCATACTGTTTATTATTGTTAAGTACCTACAGTATCTATGGGTGTTAGTGCTGGTATATGCTGCAGGATGGGTGTATAGAAGAATGAGTTTTCAAGCAATGGAAGATGTATCACTGGGAGCACAATGAGTCAAATCAAGAAAAATCACAGGCTAAATGTTTGAAAGCTGTCTTATTTCCAAATCAAGAGTTCCAAGCCAGTTTATCTTCTGTTATTCTGGTGCTGCTTTTAGAAACTAGGTCACTTTGTTACTAAAACATGTTCTATCTGTTAATAGATAGATTGACATACATTATCAAAAATTGGGTGGAGACATTGATAAAATTGACTCTCATCCTCTTTGCTCATTTGGGTATTAATTTCAGACCAACCTAGTTTGGAGGAATGCTGATATTTTCATAAAGATTTCATAATTCTTTAAGGAAATACTCAATGTTTCTGTGTTTTTGGTACTGTATATTAATATTTGTATATTGTGTATTAATATTGCTGGCATATTAATCATCAAGTTATCCAACAACCTCTCTGGCTAAATTGGTTGAAATGGCCTTAAGAGGTGACAGTGAAGAAGCAAGAAACATTAATTTAGACTCGTAACACAGCTGTTTAGCAGAACTATTTCAGGTAGTGAAAAGACTCTTCAACAGAGACCCAGCAATGACAGCTCCTGCAATGTTGGCTTGTTCACTATGGTGAATTTGCTAAGGAAGTGCATCTGTTATAGCTGAATCTGGGGAGATGTGTAGATCACCAACAGTTCATGTTTTAGGGGACCAGTTTCAGTTTCCGAGAACTGAGGACAGCAATATGTTCAACGTATCACCTATAAATTTATTTTTATCCATTTTGCTTATTAAATCTAGCAGACAGGAACTGATGTTATTGATCCAGGGACAGGCGAATGCCTTAGAGCAGGAGTCCCCAACCTGTGGGCTATGGCCAACTACTGGGCCATGGTCTGCTGGCCAGTGGGCCACGGAACAGCCTGACCAGTGTGCGCATGTGTGTGCATGCACTCATCCCCACTCGCACTAATGCCGTTGCCACTCCCACTCCAAAAACCAGGTGCCGCACGGTGAAAATGGGGTGGTGCTAGCACCTGCGTGATGAAAACGGGGCGCTGCTAGTGAGTGTCACACAGGCGCTAGCACCACCCTGTTTGCATTGTGCATGCTCGCGGTCCTGTTTGTGGGCGTGCACATGCACACGTGTAAAATGCTTCACCCTCCCTTTTCCTCTGGTCCGCCAACCGAGAAAGACTGCAGACCTCTGCCTTAAAGTATCTTCTCTAAAAGAAGTGGTAGTTTAATCCTTTCTAAAGACCATACTTCAGACTTGGGAGATACTTGAGAACTATTGCCCTATTATCAGTGCTTTTTTTGAAAAAAAAAAAAAAGTGCCGAAACTCACACATGTCATACAATCTGCCTTGCCTACCTACAAAGTTCCATCCAAAAAAGGTGCCAGAACTCTGTCTGGACATTTTATGACAAAAAAGCCCTGCCTATTATACATATTCTTGCTTGGGCAAAATGCTTGAGAGGATGATAGACAATTTATTTATGAGTTATTGGAGAACATTGATATACTAGACCTGCTCCAGTCTGCTTTGAGGCCTGGTTTGGCACTGAAGTTACTTTGGTTTCTTTACTACATGACAGATTATATGGGAAAGACTGGATGAGTGCAACTTTCTATTCTCTTGCATTATTTTTCAATGGCTCTGTACCCATTCCAGGAAATATTAAGGGGCTGCAGAGTTCCTAGCTCTAAGCTCTGGGTTTTTACAAGGATCTATTTTATCATTCTTGTTTAATATTTATATTAATTCATTGGTGCAGTAATCAGTAGATGTCGGGTTAAATGCCACTTGTATACTGATGATATCTAGCTCTAACTGGTACAGGTTTTTTTGTAGAGTACTTTCACCTGGAATTTGATCAATCAGCAGAAGTTGAATCCGACAAGATGGAAACTCTGTAGATTGATGGTCTAGGAATTGGAAAAATCTTCAATTCTGGGGGAGATTACTACTATTTATTCCCTATGAAGGAGTTGGTACACAGTCTTGGGGTATTAGATTTTCTTCTCTCACTTGAATCCTGGCAGCTGCAGGGACAGTCCATGCCCTGGTAACATATATTTGAATTACCGCAATGAATTTGATGTAGGCCTGTTATTCTGGGTCTGTTCTTGAAGATGATCCAAAAATTGCTGCTAGTATAGAATGCAAAAGTAATTACGGAATTGCTTACTTTACTTAGATTTATTCCTATATTTTGATTTTATGGTTTATAACTGCCACAGGTTTTTTTGAAAAGTTTCTTTGAACAGTGGCTAGACAATGAGATTTTAAAGAAATAAATGTCTATTAAGCCTAATGTTAAGGATTGGTTCATTTTTAAAATATTGCAATAATGACTGCAGATCAGAGCTCAATAGGAAAAAAGCTCAGAAAAAAATCCCACATAGACGACATCTTAAAAAGTGGTGCCTTTGAAGTGAAGTCTGCTTAGAGAACAGCATATAAAACCAATATGACATTTATATTATAACATAAACATTTTCATATGCATTATTTCTAGGCTGTCAGAAATGTGGGATCTCAGTCACACTCTTTCTGGAATGGAAGACAGATCAGCTCTGTAGAATTAACTAAATGTAGCTTTTCATAAAGACTTGATCTTTCCCGCCCATCACCCCCATTGCTTATCCCCCTGCACGCAATGACATTTGGATCCTAGGCATTCCAATCTGGAGGGAACCTTTTTATAGTCTTCTTAGTGGGTGGAAATGGCAGCATGTTCAGTGATGAGTATTGTAGAACACCATGTAATTTGCTAGTTTTTCTCAAAACTGTGTTTAAAGTCATTCCTTCAGTCTGCTTATCAATAGATTGAGGCAGCCTGCATGTCTAAGAGTGCTAGAACGTACTGACTCTTATAAAGTAAGTCTATTGAATGTGGATGCTAAAAATAGATAGCAGCAATTATTATTTTTTACATAAATCCCCCCCCCCCATTCATCAAATCTGAGAGGATTAGATGAGTCAATGGCTTGGGTCACTATTTTGTTTCACTTGAAATGATTGCTATGTACAGATAGAGATGAAATATAATATCCGTGGGTAGCAATTTGTGGATATGCACCTGCTATAATATTCTTTAGAAAAAAAACCACTTCAATGAATTACTCAGTGATTCACAGTGGAACTTATGGAAATGGTAATATAGCTAATCTATCTCCTTCCTAAAGAAAATTGGTTAAGAGTGGATTATATTATATATTACTAGTTTATGACATAAACAATATTTAAAATACTTTTTAAAAGTAAGTCATACATTCATTGACAATAGAGGAAACAGGCAGTTCTAAAGTTCTAACCCTTGATTCTTATTGAAGCAGAAGGACTTATTCCATACAGCACTGCATGCAGGAGCTCGTGCAACTGAATATTTTTGTACTCTATTGAAAAAGTCACATGAAAGCTCCAATCTCCTTCCAACTGCAATATACTGTACAAACTAGATAACAGGCTTGTGTAACTTAATTGATATGATTAACAGATTTATCAAGCCTCCAAAAAACTTCCTCTAAGGATTTTTGAAAATTAGCTTATTTGGGGGGGGGAGTATAGATTGCTAACAACACCTGGAATGAGTGTTACCTAAAGCAGGGCTTTTCAACTGGTGGTACGCATACCACCAGTAGTACTTTAGCACCTGGCAGGGGGTATATGACCCCTAGCCAAGTGTACTGGGGGAGGGAATCAGCTAAAGCAGCGTTGCACAGACCTGGAGATCAGCTGGAGCTGCAGAGCTTGGCAGAAGCCCTAGGATCAGTGCACATGGCGACATGGTAATTGGAGTTTCTGGACACCCAGAAGAGAAAAGGAGGAGGAGGGCAGAGAGAAGAGAAGGGGCAGGTTTTGGCAGGAGAGGGAGAGAAAGAGCGAGAAGAAAAGAGGCTTTTCTTACCAAAGCAGTGAGGAGAGACAGAGTGAGCGGCCTGTTTTCAGGCGAAGGGTGATTGAGCGAGCGGCCTGTTTAGCAAGTGGCGTATTTTCGGGCAAAGGGTGAATGAGCGAGTGGCCTGTTTAGCAATCAGTGTGCTTTCAGGGAAAGGGCACGTGAGTGAGCGGTGTGTTTAGTGAGTGGCGTGTTTTCGGGGGAAGGGCATGTGAGCGAACAGCCTGTTTAGTGAGTGGCATGTTTTCGGGGGAAGGGCGCATGAGTGACCTGTTTGGGGGGGAAGGGCAAGTGAGTGAGCTGGGTAGGAGCCCCAAGATTGGTGTGTGCTTCTGCAGGGCTATGGGGGCTCAGCAGGAGCCCAGGATCGATGCACGCAGCTATAGCTGATCAGTGCTTCTGCTGAGCCCCCCAGAAGCGCCAATCAGCTGGACCCCGGTGCTGATCCTGGCATTTCTGCTGAGCCCTGACAGCCCTGCAGAAGTGCCAATCAACTGTCAGGGCATAGCAGAAATGCCAGGATCAGCACCGGAAGGAAGGAAGGAAGATGGGAATAAGAAGGAGGGAAAGAAGGAAGGAAGGAAGGAAGGAAGGAAGGAAGGAAGGAAGGAAGGAAGGAAGGAAGGAAGGAAGGAAGGAAGGAAGGAAATGGGAATGAGAAGGAGGGAGGGAGGGAGGGAGGGAGGGAAAAAGGAAGGAAACCCCTCCCCCACGGTAACTACAATGCTAATGCGGCCCTCAATGAAATTGAGTTTGACACCCCTAATATAAAAGATTAAGTGAATTTGCTTTCCCGATTGGTTTATCAAAAGGTTGTAGCCATCATAAATATGAATCAGTTGCCAAGCATCCGAATGTAAATCACATGACCCTGGAAATGCTGAATCAGTTATAAGTGTGAAAAATGGTCATAAGTCACTTTTTTCTGTGCCGTTGTAACTTCAAACAGTTGAGGATTACCTGTACTTTATCACTTTTTTTCTTTTTTTTTTTTTTTTTTGGTCATCAAGTTTTTGACACCTTGCTAGATGACTGGTGGTACTCGGATAGTGCCATATCCTAAAAGTGGTACCATGGGTGAAAAGGTTGAAAAGCCCTGACCTAAAGGGTACAATAAGGTGATGAGCAATGAGGAGGTCTGTGTTAAAATTCCATAATATTTTAAATAGAAGCAAGGATGGCATTAATTTGAAATAGTTGATAAAACTGTTTCTCACATCTCTCTCGCATCCTTCTGGCTGGGTCAAACTGAGCCAATTCTTTCTCAACGTAGTACAGCACCTTCATGGAATCTCTGTCTTTGTCAGTTTGTATTCGGTAACCCTTGTGCACTGCATAGAGAAGTAAATGATTAGTATATGTAGTCTTTCTAGGAAACAAATATCTAATATTCCATTAGGAGGTCATTGTCCTATGATATATAAATGTCCTAAATTTTTAAGTGTTTAGAAATATGTTTTATTAAATAATAATAGAGAGATGAATAATAATAGAGAGATGAAGAGATTACCACTTTGTGCTCCTGCACCAGATTCACTAGGTGCCAAGGGAGGTAAATGTGACTTCTCCACAAGGACAGCATGAGATGGGACTCCACTACCCAAAACTGTAGGGATACAGTATGGACCTGGGATTGATGTGACTGCTGGAGGATATCCAGCCTTTGCAGCTTTTCCTGCTTCATACACTGAAAAAAAGAGTAACAGGTAATACTTCAAATATATCAAACAGTAACTGTCCTTCCCTGGTCCAGCTACTTAATCAATCTTGGTTGAATGCGAAGAAGGAAAAGATCTGATCATTATTTGAATGGGAGACCATCAGGAAATCTTAGGACGAAGTGGAAATAGAAAACCTAAAAATCATCAGCTGAGCACAATCCAGAAGATTTGCCAGACTTGTATTTCCTCAATCCTGGAAACTTAGAGTGGGGAGGATATAGGGAGATAAGGGTTGTAATGGAAATTAAAATGTGAACTCATTTTAAAGAAGCAATCTCATTAGAAGATATCCCAGAACACAGTTTACATATTACTCCCCCAGCCAAATCTGGTTTTTGAACTGGTTATTTGTACATCATTGAACACAATGATTCCTCTCTTAATCACATAGTAGTTTACCTTTACATTTAGTACCATTGACAGCTTCAAGTTAGTATAAAAGACAACTTGTTGGACAGATATGGTAACAAACTAATACAAACAAAAATGTGCACAAACAAATCATATGAACGTTCTTTCTCATCATATAGTTATTTTGATTCAGAAAGATGGGTGCCATTTATACATTCAATCAATGACAATTTAGAACAGTGGTTCTCAATCTTTTTAATGCCACGACCCCCAACCGGTCGTAAGTTGAGGACTAAACAACTGGTTGTAAGTCGAGGACTAAACCGATCGTAAGTCGAGGACTATCCAACCAGTCGTAAGTCGAGGACTTTCCCTGCCCGGGAGCGCCGCGCATGCGTGGTGCTGTCCCCTGCGCCAGCCGAGGTGTAGCTGGCAAGCGGCAGAGACGGAGCAGGCCAACCACCGGCTGGGCCACCAGCTGGCCCAACCCAAGGGAGGTAAGGCACCCGCCGGGCCCCACGTGCACCAGCAACCCTCCCTGCACCCACTGGCCTCCCACCTCCCACCCCTGGCCCTCTTTTACTTACATTTTTAGTACTTGCTCAGCAGGGAGGGGTGGAAACTTCCAGACAGCTCGCTTTCGCTACAGACAACTTGCAGCACTGTTTGCAGAATGGGACTTTTGGTGGGCTTAGCAGGGCAGAGACAGCCTGGCCAATTCCTATTGGCTTTTGAAAGCCAATAGAATTAGATTCTATTCAAGAGTCTATTCTATTGGCTTTCAAAAGCCAATAGAATAAAAGGGAGTAGCACAGCTAAGGAAAAGGGGGAAAAATGGCGGACTGCGTTGTTTGGCGACCCCGTGAAATGGTCGTTCGACCCCAAATGGGGTCCCGACCCACAGGTTGAGAACCACTGATTTAGAAGCATACCTATCTTCTCCAGTACAATAATCAGTCCATTTTTAAGTAACTGAATTTGCAGATGAATTTAAGTCTCATCTAACCCACCACTTTTGATTGAAGCTGCTGAAATGTTATGAAAAACATTTAAATCATCAAAAATTAAACAGCTGCTTAAAAAAAATAACACTTTTAAAAGTTAATATTGCAAAATCACACCCAATAGTGGCTTTGTGCTAGCTGTAAATATATCTGCTAATTGAAACCGGAGAAACTTGCAAATTGTCTGTGCCATTCTCCATATTAATTCCAAAGATCTCAACACTTTAAGATGAGTTCTTGAGAAAGCTTGTAGAATTGCAGATAAGAAGACTGACAAAATCTGGGTGTGCTAGCAGAAAAAAATCTCACAATTAGGTACATTGTCCTACACTAGCAGTACAAATAAATTGTAAACTGCCAAAAGACTTTGATAGTCACAAGTTAAATAAAAAACAAAACAGTAACTTGGTTATACAAACAGACATGTTTTAAAAATGTTCTTAAAGCAGAGGTCCCCAATCCCTGGGCTGTAGACCAGTACCAGTCCATGGCTGTTAGGAACCAGGCCCTGCAAGCAGCAGGCAAACAAGAGATGCCTCATCTACACATGTGTGGGATTTAGGTTATGCGCAAAACCATTGTCCTTCTCCCCCCCCCCCGGTCCATGGAAAAATTGTCTTCCACAGAAAGGTTGGGAGTCCTGTTCTAAAGCAATGTTTTCCAAGTTCAGTAACTTGGAAAAGTAGTCCAACTTTATTCAACATGCAGTAGTTAAAACAAAATTAGTTAAATATGGTTTCACCTAGACTGGGAATATCTTGTTGCTATCCCATGGATAACAACATCTATATAAATTTAGCACTCTGAAAGGCCAGATAATTTAAGTTTCATCTTTTTATACTGATTTTTGTACTATATGTACCCTAACTATAGCTTTCAAGCCCATATAGCACATAAATTTTCTTTATATAAAGAAATATGCCAGACAGACAATGTATCTTGATGAAAGATTTGTTTACACTTTGATCCACATTGTAAACAGTCACTCACATGCTCGTGGACAGCAGCAAGTATCTGGGCAGCAAGGGCAACGAATGTAACAGCAGCAGTTATGAGGACAGCATTGGCACCAGCAAATCCCAACTAGGAGAAAGAAAAGGAAAGCCCCCAGGATCACCAAGCCCACAAACATCCATTCTGTAAACAAAAAGAAGATAAATGAATGAAAAGTTGGAGATGTCAAACAATAACTGACTAATAATCAATAAAATACAAATAAATGAATATATATGCTAAAACAAGTGCTAATCTTTATAGCATAATTTAAATCAGTTGAAATTAAAACTAGACCCATCAATCTCGGTCCTAGAGTTATTTAAGACAGAAGAAATAGTATTTCCTGAGAGGGTCTATAAGGAGTAAAACACTGTATAATATAATCAAGGAGAATGGCAATATAATGACACACATGTGTCTGAAATGAAAACCTCAAAGTCCCCTTTTTGCTAATTTCAAACGGGTATTTATTCTGCTAGTCAAAACCTGAACTTGTTAGCTAAATGAACAGCCAAAATTAAAATTGGACATGCAGGGTGGTGAGGATTTCCATCTAGAGTATTACTGAAGTTAAGGTATGGGATTATTTTGACATACATCAAGCAATGAAATAATAAAATAATTAATAATAAATGTCATAATAAAAACAGTGTAACTATAATATACAATAATTCAAACTTCATAAAGTTGCCATATCATAAAAGCTCATAATAAAATATATCTTACAGCAATAATCAATTTATGCTGTTTGGGTGCTCTCTGATACCACCTTGGTGGTATCTTTGCAGATGTTTCATTACCAAACTAGGTAATATTTCGCCACACTAGGTAAGATCATCACTTACTAGATAACATGAAATGACTGCAAGAAAACTACCAAGTTCAGAGAGCACCAAGGACCCCACCAGAGCTATAAATATTCACTTCTATCAATAATCAATCTTGAAAATAGCCATTCCCATGCCAGCTATTTCCTTATTGTTTGGCACCTCAACAAATGAAATATATCTTTCTGGTCTTTCTAAATGTCAATAGAAAAGAAGCTATACTTAATTTGAACAACAAGCTAAAATGATGACCACTTTGTGTAACTAAAATTATGACTTTATTGGATTTATGAAGAAGGCTATACTGTTGAAAGAGAACTTTAGATTTTTTACATTTGATCTTATCCAAAAGACCAGGAAACAATTTAGCAAATTCTTTATTAATTTATGTTTAAACTACAATATATACATCCAATTGTTGTAACTGGAATCAACATCTAAGAACAATGCAACTAATTACTGTGGACTAGGTATAGAAGGCTAGTAATGGAATCAAAATTCCCTAATGTGGTGCTGTCCATAAATGTTGGTATTCAAATCCAATGAACCCAGGCAGCCATCATTCTGGTGGGGAATGAAAACCAATACATCTCAAAAAAACATATTGGTGAAGTCTGCTCTGAATATGGCATGACATAAAGAATGGCCAGTCTTTATATTGCCAGGATCTTTTTTTGGAGTAGGAGAGCCAAAGCAGGGAATATAATGATGTAAAGAAAGTAGACCCATGCAATATACTCATAAAAATAATTTCTGGGTTTTTTTTATGTTTTAAATGGGAACATTGTCCCAAAGGTGCTTTTTTCACAAGGCAACTGGACTTCCTTGGTTTTTTTTTGAAGACGTTTTGCTTCTCATCCAAGAAGCTTCTTCAGCTCTGACTGGTTGATGGGGAATGGCAGGATTTATACTACTTGCAGACAGCTGGTCATTTTAAAGAGTTGTTGAAGCCCCTGTGTAATCAGGATCACCTGAGTAGTGCAAAAAGGTGTGGAGCCTTCTTGGAACCGTTGAACCAGACACAAACTGAGCAATGTGGTATATGGAGTACAATGCAGTGAGCCATGTGCAGATCTGTACATTGGGGAAACAAAACAACCACTTCATGAGTGCATGGCCACAACATAGGAGAACAAACCCATTAGGACAAGATTCAGCAGTGCATCTGCATTTAAAAGACAAAGACAACTCTTTTGAAGACAGCAATGTCCACATTTTAGACATAGAGGACCGCTGGTTTGAAAGAGGGGTCAAAGAGGCCATCTATGTCAAAATTGAACAGCCTTCTCTCAATAGAGGAGAGATATGACATCATCTATCTCCAGTCTACAACACAGTCCTTCAACAGTTCCAAGAAGGCTCCAAACCGATTTGTACTACTCAGGTGACCTTGATGACACAAATAAACCTCCAGGGGCTTCAATGAGTCTCTAAAACAGTGGTTCTCAATCTTTCTAATGCCGCAACCCCATAATACAGTTCCCCATGTTGTGGTGACCTCCAACCACTTATACATCACCGGGTGCCAGGGGCGTGGCCAAAGAAAAGGGGAAAAAATGGCGGACAGCCTTGTTTGGCGACCCCTGTGAAATGGTCGTTTGACCCCAAATGGGGTCCCGACCCACAGGTTGAGAACCACTGCTCTAAAAAATGCAAATGACCCGCTATCTGCAAGAAGTATAAATCCTGCTATTCTCCAACCATCCAGTCAGAGCTGAAGAAGCTTCTTGGATGAGAAGTGAAACATCTTCAAAGAAAAACAAGGAAGTCCAGTTGCCTCATGGAAAAAGCACCTTTGGGACAACCATGACCTGGATGACTGAAAATCTCCATAGACCAATGGGAACATTGTTTTAAGAATACAGTAAATTTGACCTCTAAATAATGTAAGCTTTCTTACTGAAACAATAATAGTAAGCTATAAAATCAGGCTTGGAGTTGACATTCATACATCCCTAGTATTTCAAATTCACTCAGCCCTGATTTTAATATTTGTCTGAATTATATCAATTATACTAATAATTTCAAGAAGAAAGTTTGTATACTTCAAATAGTGTTTAGAATATAAACATACTTCCCATGAAGTATCCTAATTCACTTACACAATCCTAGCCCCTGAGCTATTCGGAGGGAAGGCAAGATATACATCTAATGAATAAATCAATTAAAACACTTTTTACATCACATCTTGACCTGTTAAAAAATCTTACCACTCCCTCCCCCACCCTCCATAAATTGCAAAAGCTTACTGAAGAGGTAATGAACTCAGGCTACAAGTAAAAGCAGAATTCATGAACAAGGTGCAGTAGAAAATAGAAGAACAGAAAAGTGTTAGATGGCAGAGTACCTGACATAATATCCACAGCAAAACTGGGCAAGAGACCAGCAAGCATCCCTGTCCTGCCTAGAAAAGATCAGGAGGAATGGAAAGAAGGAAGTTAGTGCAGGAAAATCACTCCCCATTCTTTGCCTTAACATTAAGCTCATTTATCTGCATCGTATACTGTATAAAGCCTATACATGCTCTTTTAGAATATTGATCATCTGTGCTTTGTTTCTCATCAGTACAGTGTGATGAAATGCTTACTGTTTTACATATTTTAACATGTTCATTATAAGATATATTCCATATATAATGCTGCAATATGCTAGCTGATACCATAAGACTTTGACAGATCATCTTTTGTGTTCTCTTGACCATTACCTATTGATATGTTACCTAAAGGACTTAAACAATTTTCAAAAGCTTCACCCACAATACTGTCCATATTAGGCCGAACTTAATACTGTATGAATGTTGTCTTTCTGTTCTGCATTTTATATTTGGTCCACATGGATTACTTCATGTTTTGATTTTTATTAACTTTCACTGGCAAAATTTTAGACACAACAATGCTTTATCTTAACTAAGCAGGACAACTACATTTAGAATGATTCAAGTTGCCATAAGCGCAAGAATGCAGGTGAGTATACAGTAATTGCTCTTTTACCACATCAAGATTTTCCTTTGTAGGATCTTTCCCCAAGATGGTTGCTGAACAGTAAGAGGATTTTTCTCTCCTGCTAATAATCTGCTGATTTCCTGCCAAAGCTGATTCTTTGTCAGGGTTGTTCCCTGGATTTCAATGGAAGCACTTAGGAATGACCCAAGATGACTTTTGGACGACCATGGATCCACCTGGGAAGAGGAATCTTGATGATTACAGTTCCCAATAGGAGAGGCCGGAAAATCAGGTGATCCATCTTTTCTTCTTGGCTTATCATTTTTTTTAAACAAGGCTGAGTTTTAATCACTTGAAGTTTCTATTTTACTTTGCTTTTTATCTCTAAAAGTTAATTGACTAGTTGAATGCTGACTTATTTTAATCCCGTTAGACTTTATCTGTTTTCTCTGCCTCTTTTTTGGGATCTACTTTGCTGTTTTGAATAACTATTGCTTCTCTGTAAGAAAGTTATGGCACATTCTTTGATAGTGAAAATGTCTTGATTTGATTTATATTTATATTGAACTTTCACTCAGGGATTTTGCATTTTATTAATTTTCAAAAAGCTTAGAGCTTATTTTTTAAAATTTTCTTTTAATTTTGGATTGAAATATCCAAAAAAATATGCTCCCTGTTTCTCTATACATTTTTCACTGTGAGGAATATCACTTCAGCATTCTTTCTTCCCTGTCCTTGAAGAGCTTTCTTATTTCAGGTTGCTTAAGCTATAAGAGAACAAATAATGTATCAGTTTACAGACAAGCCACTGTGGTTGGCATTTGTGAAAAGCCTGCTTTTTAACATATAAACTTTTTTTAAAAGGTTTGACAAAATAATAATGGCTACAAAGAATGCCCAGATACAAGTAACTGCAATTAAACTAGATTTACAAAAGGAACTTGGTTTGAAATTGGCAAATTCGGTGGAGAAGGCTGAAAGAAATATGGATTTTACAAACTTAGAACTGACGGAATGGTTAAGTGATAAACTGATCTCCCTTAAGAAGACTGAGGGAGATTGGGGAATGGATTTATTATATTCAAATGGAAAACAATTTCATCTGGACTCTTTTGGAAGATAGATTGATTTTGGAGAATGGATTTATTACATTTCATCAACTGATAAGAGATGTTATTAAGAAGTAAACAAGGATATTTGATTCAGGACAAATCAGAGTTAATTGCTGGGATGCTTTGGGATAGATAGGTTGAATACAAAAATATTGTTAACAGAGGTTTTTATATTTTAATCTTGTCTTCTTTTTTGTTATTCTACCTGTTAATTATTTTGTTATTAATATAATAGGTAGATGACAGGTTAATAATTTTCAAATAGACTTAGAAGTTTAAAAATTTTGGGCCTGTTTGGCAGGGGGTAGAAAACTAATATTATTAAAATATAATTATTAGTATTCAACTAGGGAACAATAATATATGTATACGTGTTTGTGTCCTTTTTTTAAAGCACTTTTTAATGTCTTGTTTGGTTTCTTTCTTTGGTTCATTTCTGTAAAAAAACCTTTTGAGAGGAATTTTGTTTTTGTTTTCAATAAAAATTCAATATAAAAAAGATTTTCCTTTATAAATGGACTAAGGTTTTATTTATGTATCAATTGAGGTTAATTCTTGAGGGCTCAGTGCAAAGGTTATAGCTACTTTAACCTCTGAGGACATAAACTACATAAAGTTTCTGCATTATGTACAGGACTAGGAACCCTGGTGGCACAGTGGTTAAAGCCCAGTATTACAGGCAAACACTGTCCATAGTCTGGAGCTTAATCCTGATGGGGCTCAGGGTTGACTCAGCCTTCCTTACTTCCAAGGTCAGTAAAATGAGAACCCAGACTGTTGGAGGCAATATGCAAATAATGCTTACATAGTAAACTGCCCAGAAAGTACTATAAAGTGCTATGGGGTGGTGTATAAGCTTAAATGCTATTGCTTTTGCTGTTATACATATTACTTGTATGCATGTAATATATCCAGGCACTATCATAACCATTTTAAATGGCTATGCTTTCTGCATCTATTATTACAGCTTGGATTCTAAGCTACTCGTTTTGTTTTTTACATTTAGGACACTCATTACTCAGCTAACATTTGCATGATTTGGAATTGAATTTCTATCTATGTTTTTGTTCTTTGGAACTGCATATTTCAGCTTTCATGTGTTGTTATAAGAAGCATAATAAAACAGAACACTGCTTCAAAACATGGGACAAGCTTCATTTTAAAGAAACAAACTTCGGAGTTTCATATGTGTGATGAATATGAAAGTTATTACATGAGCAGAATTTATTATTACCACTCAGATTCTATATTGAATGTTGCATTCAATGTATGTGTATATCATTGATTTTCTTAAAGATGTATTCAATTCCTTCATATAAGGTTTAGGAACCAATTCCAAACAGATTTGAGATCTTTCAGACCAATCTGAGAATTTTCAACAACCATTTAAAGAAGAATCAGCACAAAATATTACAATTAAAGCAGTAGGGATAGAGGTAAATATGCTTCAGAGTCTGTAATTTTCATAGCCTGTTTCCACTCTTAACACATAATGAACAAGTATGGGAGGCTTATTTTATGCATACATCCATGAGGCATACATTTGTTTCTATAGCATTGCACTTGTAGAAGAAAACTTTACATTCCACTGGTAACGACCAGGAAAGAATATCTAAAAATAGATAGCATACGGTAAATAAAACCAGCTCAAACAATCTGACTTGAAATGCTTTAGAACCTTTTCTTCACCATGGACCCTCTTTAAATGCCTTTTGTGGCCACGGACCATGGCCATGGACTTCCAAGACTTAACTCAAGATTTAAATCATAATATTTCTTCAACCCTTTGCGGACCCCCTATGATGACATCCTGGACCCCCAGGGGTCCATGAACCACAGGTTGAGAGCCACTGCTGTAGAAAACCGAAGTTCTTTATTGTGATATTCAAAGAAAAATTGAGATTATTGGAAGATGCACAGACAAGTGTGCATGGTATGCACAAAAGGCAAAGTGTCTGCCAAAAATCCCTAACTTTTGGAAGTTTCCAATTATGGACTCTGAGCAGACACCAAACCCTTATTATTTGTGAATTACAAAAACTCATTAAAGAATCAATGGTTATCAACTGGATTAATTTTGATTTTTAAAACTATTATAATTAGTTTCAAAACACCTTCATGAAGAACCTGTCTGTGTTATTTAATTATAATTGTTAATTATAATTGTACTGATGTTATCTAGTTTGGTAATGAAACATCTGCAAGAAAACCACAAAGCTCAGAAAGCACCAAGGAGCCCACAATTATAATTGTCCACTGCCAAAGCAAAAATATGCACTACATTCATACCTACTTTTCTAACTAAGTTTTTGTGATCTGTTGTAGTTCATTAATGCTTTTTATAGTGTTCTGTATTATAACCATTAATCATGAGTAACTCTTTGGAGTTGTAATACAGAGGTGTCAAACTGCCGGCCCATGGGCCGGACACGTTATGTGGAAGCCGCGTCCACCCCATTGCCTGCAATGGCAAAACAGTCCCGATACATTGCACAATGTCACGTGATGTCACGGGTTTGACATGTCTGTTGTAATAGAATGATAAACATGATCTTTTGCATAGGATTTTCATTTTTCTTTTAAAAATAAAAAAATATATTTATCATCACGCAAATGGAGCTTATTTAGAATACTGCATTTATTTCACAAGTATATATGATTGTATGCCAACAAGGTTTTTTTCCCAATCAAACTAATCAGTCGCTCAGCATTTTTCCAAATCTCAGATATTCAAACCTCTTAATAGATTGTTAAATCTGAGATACGTAAAATGCACAAAATATTATTTTTTAAGTTCAAGTTTTAAACCTTGTTTGGGGGGGGGTGCTATAAATATCTGTGGATAGAATGTTACCAACCTAAATAAAACACAGTGAGAAAAATTGCTAGAGAAACAATAAAGACATAAGCCAGTACTTAAGCCCTCCATGGCTTAACCAAGCATAAACATTCTTACTATTATTTCCCCTGCATTTTGCATATTTTAAGAGGTAAACATGTATTTGAGAAATGAGAGGAAAGCGATTGTAACTCACTCTTACATGACGGGCAACCTGAGTCAAAATTCTGACTTATATACAGCAGCTACTGCATTAATTACTTAATTAGTGTGTTACCAACATCCATGGCTTTGGGGCTTTTTGAGACAATAAACTTAAGTCACTTCTCTTTTTTGGGATTGAAGAGAGAGAAAGGAATCCATGCTCCAATTTCAAACACTTTCTTTTTCTTAAGAGTTGTTGTAAAAGATAGGAAATGTTTGTCTCACTATGGAATATTACTTTCTTACCCACTGTGCTATATTTTTTGTTAATTTAACTGCAACTTTCAAATGTTATTTTCCTTTCTAGTAGCTGTATTTTCCCCATTAAGTAAGACAGCAGCTGGAGAGGATGTAGAAATTTTGACAGGAAATATGACAGGAATAGCAGGGCAGGGAAGGTCTTGGAAAGAAATACAGTTTCATTTAGTTTGCCAAGATTAACTATTTTTTATATGTATCTCAAGTTTAAAAACAATAAATGTACTAAGAATGGCTTCTTAAGATCTAATCTTGGTTACGTTTAAACTTCTGGTTTGCAGCTGCAATAGCAGCAAAGCCCAGCAGAAAAGGAAGTGCAATAAAATTGATGCAAAATATCTCAAGATTTAGAAATTATTACCTTGAATACTCCTAAACAGTGATCAGTATAAAACAAAATAATATTATCTATTCATGTTTGGCAAGGAACGGTTGCTAGAATTGGGTATGTCTGGTTTAACGAAGAGAAGGACAAGGGGGAACATGATAGCAGTATTCCAATATCTCAGGGGCTGCCATAAAGAAGAGGGAATTAAGCTATTTTCCAAAGCACCTGAAGGCAGGACAAGAAGCAACGGGTGGAAACTAATCAAGGAGAGAAGCAACCTAGAACTAAGGAGAAACTTCCTTACAGTGAGAACAATTAATCAGTGGACAGCCTGCCTCCAGAAGCAGTAAATGCTCCAACACTGGAAGTTTTTAAGAAGAGACTGGACAGCCATTTGTCCGAAATGGTGTAGGGTTTCCTGCCTGAGGAGGGGGTTGGACTAGATGACCTCCAAGGTCCCTTCCAACTTTACTACTATTACTATTACTAAGTCTTAGCAAACAACCATATTAGTCAGGACTGCCAGGAATGATCCTGGATGCTCCACTCCCAAGAGAGATTAATAGCTGGCTTCCAAAAATACAATGTTCTTCAGACACTGTACACACCTTCTCAAAAATTATTTTCTTTTCTGGTTTCACAGATTTCTTCTCCCTCCCTTTCTGTTCACCAGTGTTCCGAGAAATAAAATCTGAAATGGAATTCACTAAAGCTCTCTTTTTATTAACCACTTCAGCAAAACACTGGGTAGAAAAGCAACGCCTAAATCTGAAACAGCTAGTAGATTTGAATGTGTCAGCACTCCCAATATCCAACCTGCTTTAAACCTAAGTAATTCTGCCACAATCATTTTTTTTTCCTATGCACTGAATTAATTCAGTGATAACCTTTCTCCCTACCGGTGTGTAATTCTCCCGATTCTTATTTTTAACGGCTGTTAAGTAGGCTGCTGAAAAACTCCACAGCTGACCCAGCCATTCTTTTTAATACCGGTGGTTTCCACAGCAACCGAAGGGGGAGATAACACACAGGCTTGTCATGAATGCTTGCTAATTGAAGGCCAACTTTCTTCCTACAGGGATGAGCAACACGTGAACCAAAAATATATAGAAAGGACAAAAAAAACAACACATTGATTGTGGTAGGAAATGTTCTGAAGCTGCTGGAAATACCATATGAAAAAATGGAAGCTTTGATCAGTTAAAAATGATATATTCAAAAAATAAAACAGCTGTGACTACATGATATTTCCATAGGTTTACTTCTTAAAGAGGAGAGAATGCAAAATTAAGGAAAAGATCAGCAAATGTAGAATTGCTAGAATTTTCAGAGCAGAACTCTAACGTTCTTAAAAATGAGGCCTTCTGGATATAATTGACTACAATTTATACAAATTGGGAATTATGGCAACATGTATATATAGGTTCTAGAATTATCACCCCAAATTAGCTTGCATTCAAGCATCAAATTAAAATCAAATACATCATGCTCATGACATCAGTTTGGAATGACTGTTTAAAAGCATTTCATTCAAGTCTGAGTGTAGCAATTACCAAGACCAGTAGTTCTCAATCTGTGGTCCACCGACCCCTTGGGGCCACAATATCATCACAAAGGCTTGAAGAAATGTTATGATTTAAATCTTGAGTTAAGACTTGATGGTCCATGTCCATGGCCTACAATGTATTTAAAAAGAGTATGTGGTGAAGAAAATGTTGAGAACCACTGACCAAGACTATTCCTATCATTCAGTTGCTCTTTTATACTTATCAATGTATGTTGAACTAGCAGTCACATGAAGATGTAAATATCTTTTTAAGGGGTTATGTATGTTATTCAGTATTGGTTCCTCACACATGATTATCAGGAAATACTTTTTAAAACTCAGAAGGACATTTCAGTTTCTATTTGATATGCTAAAGAATATTAAATCAACAGATTCAAAGAAAAACAAAAGTTCAAAGAAAAACAAAGAAAGATGGGAGGAGTATATGTTGAGCTGCGAAGGAAGAATCTATAAAAGTTCTATCAAACAATGCCAGGAAATCTGGAGAATGACACAGTGGCCAGCTGATTGGAAGAGGTCATTCTACACACCAATAACAAAGAAAAACGTAATAGCAAAGTATCATACAAAATCCTTAATTACATATGTTATATGAAGTATTATAAAATAACACTTAAGATCATCCAACATCCAAAGCTGATCTACATGGAATCATTGAAAAAGACAAAGAATGCCAAAACTGAATCAATATGTGTTTCATTGGTTAAACAAAAGCGTCACTTGTGTCTAGTTAAAATGGAGAACTCAAAACATCTCAGATTTTCACAACATGTTAAAGTCCCCATACAAAATGTATACACAGGTCAGGTCAGAAAGCCAATGAAACATGGTGAATCAGATTAAGTCTAGGTTGGAAAGGAA